TAGATATAACACTGCCAAGAGAGGAAAATATAATAGGATTTGATGTAGAGCAGGATAGCATTTCAAGAAATGCTAAGCTGTTTTTCTTCTGGAGAAATGCCTGTGATTGGGGGTCATTCCAAGGAGCAAGACTTACATATGGATGTTTGCATGAAGTTCTGTGGTTGTGCAGTGATTCTACAGAGAACAAATGTGTAGAAGGAACCCAAAGCTCGATGCAGGTGTTCCTATGGACTTAACTGGCTTTGGGATTTCCCCCTAGCATTTCTGATCTTGTTTGAATACCATTAGTCCTCTGAAGTCCTGACAGATGTAGTATGGTAGAGGTGAGATTCCTATTTATGGAGCTTTCAGGTCTTGACCCAATAGCTAACTTAGATGTGATGCATTGATTTTCAGCTGGCTTCTGTGTGTATAATTACAGCTGGCTAATGCAGCTACTCGATTCCCACCATGGTATTTCACCTTACTCCGGTATCTCATCTAGTGCTGTACTTTGGGAGGATGAACAACTGAGGCTCTGTTACTGTAGGATGAATTTTGCTGACAATGATCCTATAGCATTGCTTGTCCCCAAGTAAAGCAATGCACAGTACTGTATGAGTACTACAGAATCAGGGTTGTAAGATGCTCTGAGCGACCAGCAGAGCTTGTGGGGTAAATAGAGGGGAATAATGAAACCTGACCTTGAAGTATTCTGTATCAGGTTTTTGGGTTTGGCACTTCCCATTACTTCACTGGGTTTTCTAAACAAATTGCTTGACTTGGTGGAGTCATTCAGCTGCTAACTGTATGTAGTTGTAAAAAGAAGTTTACTTAACCATTTCATAACAAAGAAGCTCAAACACAGATGTTGTCAAATATATCACAGTGTCATTGTCAGCTCATTAAGTGCTTTACTTCCTTACCAATGCTGTAAAACCAATTATTTTATGGAATGTGTTTTAATTTTGCAATTCTAAGATTATTTTTAATCTCGATGTCAGTTTATTCTTCAAAATATGCTATATGTTATAATTCAGCTTTTGTTTTTAGATGAGAATTTTTGCTGCTGTAAATTTGGGAAAAAAAAGCCTTTGTTTGCTGAAGAAAGTTGGTTTTATGGATCTGTATAACATTGGTGCCTTAATTACTACAAATGGGTAATAAACACTTTTCCATATATGAGAATAGGAGACACGCAGAGTCGCTGTGATTAGGCACAATTGGATTTTCTCTTGATAAGTGGTTAAAAAATGTAAATACTGCAAATAACTGCCTGAGGGTGTGCTGGATAACTGCACTTGGAACCATGAAGCAAAAATGATTTTTACAGGAACTGCTGCTTCTCTCTGTTGGAGTTGAATACAAGGGAAACTGAATGCACATTCATACATAAGTTGTATTACTTTTTCATTCTTCATGAACATTTTGTATTAAGGTGTCTGCACACAGATTTCTTCTTGCAAAGAGCAGAAGTTGGCATGAGTGGTTAGAATCCAACTCAAAGGAGAGAAGGAAAGCTTAGGTTTCCGTTTCACAAGCTCCATAAGGAACAAACCATGTCCTTTAAGGGCTCCACAGATCCCACCAGAGCAAGGTCCCACTTCTTCAACTATAGCAGAAGCTGAATGTAGTGCTTCTGTCAACTTTCAGGAGCGCACACAATTCCCTTTGAGAAACTTCAGAACAAATGGTTGCACTTAGCAAACATGACCCTTGGATTTGAGATTTAATCAGTCTCGAATAGGATTTTCCCTGCAGTGGAAGAGCTGTGTCACCAGACTGATTTTTCTCTCAAACGTCTTTGAGCAGTTAATGCAAAATTTCTGAGCATGCTTAAAGGGAGAAGAAAAGGGCTCAGATTATTAGTAATTAGAAGACTCGGAGCACTGCGACCCTTTCTGACAGATGATGGCTGTTTTCTCAGGGGGCACCAGGGCCTGGTGTTGATGTGGGAAGTTGCCTGCAATGCATGAGTGGTTCTCTCCAAATTTTCTCCCTGTAATTCTTGTTTGCTCACTCCCTGCTTGTTCAAGATGCACATTATTACCACTTTCAACTGCTGTTTGGTTTTCCCTCAGCACAGTGTGTAGCCATAGGCCCTTGAGCCCATCTCAGGCCTTCAAGGGCATTTAACCAGTAGGAAGTGTAAAAAGTGGGGACTGAGTGTAATTTAGTTTATATGAAGCTGGGCTTTCATATTCAACCTGATGCTTGTCAACTAAAATGTGCAAACATCACCCCAGGGATTTTGTGAATTCTCAATAAAAGATACATTACTTAGACAGATTTTCTTGTTTTGACTGGAGGCAATTAATACTTAAAGGAATTGTTTTTCCTGAGCATTTTCTTGTGGCAGTGGTCTAATGATTTTTGCCTTTCTGATCAATTTTACTTCACCCCTTCTTTGCTGGACTCTGATTACCTGTTGCAGTTGTTTCCCCACAGGCTTTCTGTGGTAATCCTCAGTGGAATAAAAGCAAAATACTTGCAGGGATTTAGGTGTCCCTTCGACAGGAATTGAAATCCTTTCTTTAGAACAGAATGAGAGTATGTAATGCTGTTTGATTGAGCCATAAATACAGAATGAAGTGAGAAAACGTGTTTTTTGAATGCTTCAGGAGTGTCAACTTCACTTGAAATTAGAAAGAATGAACTGTTCAGCTGGTTGCAAACAAAGCCAAGCACCCAGATTTTTAAATTTGCTTCTGAACAGAATATAGTAATGCCATGGTTTAATGTTTTCACACTGTAATTGGCTTTGTTTTAGGGTTGAATGCTTCTAAGGGATGCTGGCTGTCATCTTTTCTTAGAATAATTCAGACTAGTAGATTTTTTCACAGGAGGTGCACAAAAGGCTTTTGCTCTGTTCTATCATCACAACCTTGAAAAGGATTGTGTCACCTGGACCCTGAAGCTGTTCTCTAGAGCTGTGTTGTATCTAATGGAGTTCTTGTCTTTCTCAATCTGTATGAAAGCTGTGAAGATCCGGTCTTGATTTCTGCTTTCTTGAATGCCTGACAAATGCAGAGGGTCTGCACACAGACTTTTGAGAACTCAGGAACTCTGGAAGAAATGGGCAAAAGCAGTGCAGTGCAGGTCCAAATCACTTTGGACTCATGCATTCCTTACAAATTTATAGGAAACTTCATCATTGCTGTACTCTGCTCAAATCTTGCATCTCGTTGTGAGTTGTTCTTGTTGAAGCTGTCATGCCAGAAGTTGGGAAGAGAGCAACAAAAGATAAGTTAGCTGTACCACCCTGCGTATGGAAGATTGCAGGATATATTTTTCCTCATACAAGACTCCCATCATCCCCACCTCTTAAAATGAAGACTGGTGAATAATGGCTTAGTCAAGCAATAAATACATAATCTAATGCCACCTTTGACCCTTACAACTTGTGTGTAGGTCAAAGATTATTTGAATTATTGTGATTTATGCTTTCAGTCTTATGATATTTTTTAGATAATCTTTGCTTGTCCGTTGGTACTACTAATTATTTAATCAGTCTGTTTTTAGGAGGAAGCAGTGATTCTTCTGACACAACCACAGTACTTTTTTCTGACCATAAAACAATTCAGACTGTGCAGGACATTGCATTGAGTTAGGCAAGACTTTCAGAAAAATGTGAATATTTGCATGAGTAAATATGCTGCATGAGTAAACATGCCTATGTAAGTGCTTGTGTTAAATTAACAAACTGTGAAAGGGAACTTGTTTTATTATATGTAACAAGTTTAGCAATGGTGTATCTTTTAATAAATAATGTAACCTTACTTCCTAGTTGCTCCAGAACGTAATTATACAAAGAATTCTTGACAGCTTCCAAATTAATTTCTCTCACACTGAAAGGAAAATTTAAGCTTTACCAATGAATGATGACCATGCATCTCAGAGAGCTTCCAAACTTAATGTTATTTCATGTTAAAGTGCATCAATCATCCCTTAAGCGTAACTTGACAAAATAATTTGGTAGTGGCAAATGCTTGTTTTCATGTCTTGGGCTTTTGTTGGTTCTTTACTGTACCCGAGGCAGAGGCTTATGTAGATTGTGGCAAAGAGCTTTCTGACTCGATAATGAAAGCAAACGTTGTCACTAAGTTCCCCTCCTTTTCTATTCCTGCCTGTTGGCTTGCATGCTGTCTCTCAGCTGCAAATAAAAGAATGAGAAATTCCAAGTCTGAAGTAGTTTGTATGAAGCTGCGTTCTTACACTTGCAGGCTGAGCAGCCAGATTTAGTGTGAGTTAGCAAAATGCTTCTGCAGAGCAGCTCCACAACTTTCATTCAAATGCTCTGGATAGACTGACTTTCCTTTTTGGTTGTTTCATTTACTCTGCAAAATGAAGTTAATTGTATTGAGGAGCAATGGGTGTCTTGCCGTGGTTTACTTCCCAAAGAACCTCAGTGTGTCTCACCATTTGTGCTGTGGCTTGTGCTAACATTTGGCAAACTAATTTTGTGCTCCTTGTTCTCGGGTCCAAGAGACAACTAGGGCAAGTTCTTCTCTTAGAAACTGTTGCTGGTACAAATTGGCAGTGACCCAGCAACCAAGAGAATCAAATTATTCTGTCTTTACTGGTAGAGCCTTGGAGGTTTGTCACCTCAGATGTGCATGACAGACCTCATCCCTTCCTTTTTCTTTCGACTCATACTTGTCAAATGTGTGTTTATACAGATATGTTTATCAAGTGTTACTGAAAATCTCAGGCTTGATCTCATTAGATTTTTATTCTGTTGTAAAGAATTTCTGGGATGAAGGGGAATGATGCTGGCTCTGGGAGGGATGGTGGAATACATGTAGCCCGAGTGCATGGAATTGTTGCATGGCACAGAATGCAGCTAAACTGACACAGCAGTGCTGGGGTGGTATTACCACGTGGTTCCTAGTTAAGTTTTAAACCTGCTGCTTTTAAAACATATGACCCAAATGTTTCAAAGCCATGCTGTTTTCTGTACTGTTACTTAATCCAGTTGTTGCTATATTAATTCATATCATTTTAACTTTGCATTTCAGTTCGAATTACCTGAATTATACCACCAGATTCCTGGGAACACAGGCATTGACCCATCTGAAGAAAACCTCAGAACAGCAACAGTTAAATGTAAGTGGTCCAAATACATTCAGTTAACAATGAAGTGTAATTGCATGGAATAATGTTTGGATTAGATGAGTGTATCTGAGCCCCAGGGCATTGTGGCAGATGCAATACAAGGCCTAATAAACTACAGGTCCCTTCTGCCAGCATTACTATATAAGAGCAATGATAACACTGTCAGATTGAACAGACCTGAAACATTATACATATGCACATGTATGCACTAAAGATGCTAGTGAAATGTGATGGAACATCTAGTAAAATTCTTCAGTGGTCTTAATGAAACGACATCTTGTGCTTAACCTTTCTTTCATGTGAGGTTATTTTTAAGAAACAATCCTCTGAGTGCTTGTGGGAAAGTTCCTTGTAATTATGTGTAAACACAATGTTTTGCCTGATAAGTCATAGGTATAACTGCTCTATTCGGAGAGGAGCTGAGTTAAAACTTTAAACTTACTGAATAGACATACTTTTAGTGCAGAAACTGTGCCTTTCTTGCTATGTATTCCTCTCAAAATGCTAGACAAATGTCTCTTGTTTCAGATTGTGGGTGGCCCAGTTGCAGATGTATGCTTTAATTTTTAAAAACAGAAAAATAAGGCAAGTTAATAAAGAGTTTGTGTGTGGGTAGTTGTTTAAAAAGAAGTTTCCAAACAAATTCTAAGGACATTCTTTTGAGGTGACCAGACTGTCACTGCTGTCAGTCCCTTGAGCATCCTGTGCAGGGGGCTGACCTCTTTATTAGAGCTAGCAGCATTGCCTCTAGGATACAGCCTCGACTTCTGATTTTGGCAGACGTGACAGATTTGGTAGTAGCCCAATGGACCACATCTTCATTTTCCCTCTTTCAAGATATCCATTCAAATAAGTATTGTGATGTCTATTGGTTGAAGTATGTATTTGGGAGGGAAGCTGCAAGCATCACTTAATCTTTATGGCAAGGTTAAAAAAAAGCCAGATGTCCAAGCTGAGAACTGCAAGCTGCATGTCATGTGATTTTAAAAATGTTGGTGTGAATGAAAGTCTCAGCTCAGCTGTGTGTATGGAGCTGTTCTTTCATTGTGTTTATTCTTCACTTGTGCAAAACACACAAGTTCAAAGTTCAGCTTCCAGATCAACATCAATGTTTCTGGCTTGGATTTTTAAAAACTTGAGATGTAGATGTTCTAAATGGCTCTGTGGTGTGTGCCTTCCTAAGGCCAGAAGCAGGCATGGTTCGCTGTAACCTCACATCTCTGCTGCATCTCCTGCTTTTGGCTATGTAGTTTTTATTTTTTCCCTGCCTGGGTCCCTTTGTGTCAGACTTATCACTGCTCAGTAGGTCAGAAGCTGGCTGGGTTGCTGTGCTTATTGAGCACTAGAAACCATGTAGATATGCTTGTTAATTGTTAAATTTCTGGAGTTTCAACACCTGAAATAGATGAAGTGGTTCCTAACTCAAGTTGTAAGGTATTAGTCCACAGCATTGTTCACAGTTCTTGAAGGTGGTATTTTTAAGACTGTTCTTTGCATATCTTATTTAACGTATTTGTAGCTTAAGACCAATGAAATAGTGTCAGGTTTTGATTGTTTTTTTCCTAAATGTGTGATATACTCAGAGCTCCTGCAGAGAGAGGGTTTGTTTATGTTGTGGTGTGTTCTGCTGCAGGAGCTTAATATATTAAGCATTTTCCCAAAGGATAGCTGTGGTCTTTAATTAACTTTTTTCCCATAGGCCTATAATGTAGTATTATACAATATTTGGTCAGTACCTTACTTTTCTACTCTTGTGTAGGACTTATTGGCTCTCGTTTCCTGAGGGAGCATTATGAGTGCAGACAGGAAGAATGCATCAAATGAAAGTTAATTGTGTTTAAGCTGTAAGAGAGAGATTGAACAGCTAAATATGCAGTTTCCTATGCTGCTAACCCATGAAAGCATAGAAAAAAATACTTCAATCACAGAGGACAAAATATAAAATATGTATCTAGCCACAGAAATCTTCATGCTTGATTTTGAAAGTTGTCTACAAGATAATGGAGGTAAGCACATGCCAGTATTTATAGTGGTTACTTCCTCAGGGAAGGAAAAATTCTACATGCAGTTCGAAGGCTGCTATGATCTTGTTATCCCAAATCTGTTGTGCACAGAAGCAAAGATGATGGATGGCATGTAGGAACTTATCCTGTTACATGTTCATCATAAGTCATTACAATGTAGTTGACAGTCTGTGGGCAGCTTCATGCCAGAGCCTTGTCTGGCATGGGTGCTTTTGGAGGAAACCAAACGGGTCACATCTGAGACTAGATTGAGAGTATCCTTCTGCAGTTACGAGCATTCTAGAATCAGCTCCATGGCTCACTGATGCAAAATTTCATTTTGTGCAAGGACATGAGTTCCCAAGTGGGTGATAACCTGAGAAATAGCAGCTGTTTCAGAGCAGGATTTCCAATAACCTTCTCATTTGAGATGTCCCTATTGCTTATAAGACATTTTCATTGGAAAAGCTCCAACTGTCAGCAGCAATTTACCCAGCAGGGTTTTGTTAGTCTGTACCCTAATATGTTTAATGGGGCTTTGTGAAACTGGGTCTTCAGAACTCTGATCTGAGGAAAGGTATTTTTCCTCTGGTTTTGGTTATCCTGTTCCAGACTCCTATTTTTAGGCTTAAAGCTTTATCTGATCTGAAATTTAGTAAGACAAAAAAAACCTGTGTCAAAAACTGCATGGCTTCTTAGTTATGTGCCATCTACTCAAAGCAATCTTCTCAAGTATCGAAATTTCAGGACAGCTTTAATTCAGATTTCTTTGAAAGGTAGCAATAGTTTATTCAGATTTATGAACCAGAGATCAGAGTGAACATGACTTGAGCATCCGGTTTGTAATGCAGTGAAAATGTGATGCTTGCCCTGAAGAGAGAGAGCTTCATTTCCTTCCACTAAATAGAGCTTAGAGTATGGGAGAAAGAGGGAATGGTGAAGGGAAGCCAGACCAAGTGCTCGTGTATGATAATTTGCTTGAAATCTGATTTGAATGTTGTCACAGCCTGTAGTGTGCTCAGACCAGCATCCACTGAATAAGAGCAGCTCAAAGCACTCCTTAACAGTGAGCATGTGTGTTCTTGTAAATCAAAATAATTAACTGGTGTGCTGGGATCTCATCTGCCAAATACACGTGGCAAGCTACATCACCATTGAGGCTTTATTACTTGGATGGTTGTAGCCTCTAGAGATCTTAATTGAGGCTTCATTGCACTGTTCAAGCACTTAATTAAAAAAAACATCATCCTCTGCCCCATGACTTTAGTCTGCTCTCCAGATGTTGCAAATACCTGCATGATCCTACTTCTGCTACTGAGAGTAACTTTGAAGATTAGTGAGATCAGCATAAAATAAAATCCCAGCTTACAGTGAACTCAGTATTTCTCTACTATTTGTGGTAAGGCCAATACTGATGTTGCTGTTTGACCAAGGCAAATGATTACCAAACATCTGTTCACTTGTTAGAATATGATAAACCTTGTCACAGCAGAATCTGAGAAGCTATGCCTGGTGTTCCCATGATTCACTCTGCATTTTATTATCAATACCATGTGACAGCATGTGACTGATGCTACTTCAAAACAGTGAAGGTATCTTTGCCCAGGGATTTTTACAGCCAATCCAGCTAAATAAAAAGTTTTCTGGAAGAGATCTTTAGGAAAAGCAAAATAAATCCTCCCTTCTCAGTGTACAGGAGTTCCCACATGCACCTGCTTGCTGCTTTTTGCAGGACTGCATAGATGAAGTACTGAAAAGCACTGGAGCTTTCCTCTCCTCCGGCACAAAGGCTTTTGTTAAGAATGCAGGCACACAGATGCTGTTGTGCTTCACTTGAACTGCTATGCCTCTAATCCCCAAACAAGATTTGGTTGAGACACCCAGGCTCTTTGTACAAAGCATATATTAGATATCACTTAGAGATGATATTTTAATTGAAATCTACAAAAATGTGCAACTGCATTCCCAGTTGAAAATGAGGAATATATTATTTAACTCATTTGTTAGCACATACACACAAGCTAGTAATTTTCTTTGATAGTTTTTTATTTGATAGGCTTTTCTCTGTTGGGCATTACAGAGACTGTCCTTTTATCAAATTATTTTCGTATGGTTTTTTTCCACAGCCTAAAAATGAATATAGAATTGATGCTACACTTTTAATCTCGGCAACAATGTATTATAAAAATCTCTCCTGACAGCAGATGACATTAACTGTGATTAAAATAAGTGGCAGTGGTTTGATGATGAGCTGTAAAGGGGTGCTTTTAACTGCCTTCTTAACCTTCATTTCTTTTAACGAGAAGTTAGATAAAACTGCTAGATAAAACTTGGTGTCATCAGGACTTAAGCACACAACTTCAGTTATAAGGAGATAGAGATGATTGCAGCTCATGTTTGTTCATGGAGAGATCTTGGAAGATATTGTAGGGATTTTTATTAAAAATATTGAATGGGATTGCTTTCCTGTACAGATAAAGGAGATGCCTGCATGACAAGCACAGTTCTGCATGGAGCTGGGAGCGAAGAGTAATCATGCACGTTCATTAATTTGTGATAATCTATGATTCAACACTGATTAAATCACCAATCTTATTCAGTCCTTACAAGGAAAGTCAAGTTATCAGCATTATTACATGGTATGTTCACTGAATATATAAGACCAATTCCTACTGAACTTGTACCTTTCTGCCAATTGAAGGCTACATATGCCATGGAAACCGTCACCAAAGGAGCTCCAGTTAGAATGCCATGGCACTTTGCACTGCAGTATCGGGGATGAGAGCAGGTCGTCTTTCCGTGTAACTACATGTGATAGATGCATCTGTGAAGTAATGACTACATATGATTTTTTTTCTTCCTTGTATGTACTTAGAAAGGATTGAAATATTTCAGATCAATTGGTAGTGGTGGGAAGGTAAAGGCACAGCTGTACATTTTTAACTGTTATCACCTATCCAAGCCTAAAGTCGATCTGTGGTGTTAAGG